TGTTTTTCCAGGCCTAAGAGGGCGTTTGTAAATGTTTTGCCAAGTCAGCTTCCGACAATCCGGCCCCACTTGTCAGAAAGTGATTAAATGAACTAAATCATTCGATCAGTGCTTTTTGCAAAATGATTACTGAATACGCGGTTACTTTTACAAAAAATTAATGATCAGGTAGTTTTCCACAAACAAAGCCCCAAATGTGATGGTTTTATGCAATTCACTCCTTTAACACAAGAACCCCCTTCTTCCACGCCAGGAATGGAGGGCGTTCTTCGATTTCCTGCCCCCTCACCATCTTTAACCAAAGCAGAGAGGAAATCAGGGGAAATCAAGTGGCCGCTTGCACTACAAGTGAAAAAGTAGTCTACCGAAAGGAAAGGAGAGAACCAAGGAATCCAAGGAAAAGCGGGAAAAAGAGGCGAGCCATGTTGATGATGCTTGATCGCAGTAGCCAGCAGTAGGTGCGGAAAGGGGCGGCCGTATGGAATGGAGGTACGTACTACAGGTACTCATCGCTTTGAAAAAGGTCCATTTGAAGGGCAATGCTAGCCTAGCATCATACGGTATACCGTGCAATAATAGCATCATGTTTGTCCTAACGGCTACTTCTGCCCCCGGAAGGCAAGAACCGGCTAGGCTAATTAGCCAGAGTGTTGGTAGCTTGGTGTGGAGCATCATTAACATTTACCAAACCCCAAGCATGGCGATCGGCACCGCTGTTCTCAAGGCCGAAAGCCTGTCACGTCCCTCTTAATCAGCAAAGTTGTGTAAAAGAAGGTCGAGACATAAAGCAGCACCATATCTAGGTTGGAAACAGATAGAGACCAAAATCTAATCCCAATAAAGCAAAGAAGCACCATACTCTGTTCGGATGGGAACATAACTCTGAAATGGGGACTTAGAGCAACTCCAATGGGCCGACCCAAACGGACTGTGATTTCGTTCGCTTTTTGTCCGTTTAGGTCGGCCGCCCGCCCGGCGTCCGCCCTTTTTTTTATATGGGTCAGCAGCGGGTCCAACGCGCCGACCCATATGTGCAGGCGTGGCCGGCTGGCCACCCAATTTTGCATTGCATTCTCACATATGATGAAATGAAAATTAACAAACAAAATAGTCCGCCCAAATAAATAGTATAGTTTACATGCCAAATAAAAATAAAAATGTTTCACATAGTTTTGCAAAACGAATAAAAAAGATACATCTATTGGTTGCCAACATGAGTCCACATATGCTCAACCAAATCATTTTGCAGTTGCACGTGAGTTTCCCAATCACGCATGTCTTCATGAAACTGAGTGAACTGCTCAAATGTTGCCGCTACTCCATGCTCAGGCACAACATTCTCACCCTGAAACTGAAAGCCTTGATCGTACAGACGTTTCGGGCGCTCGTCTTCTACGATCATGTTGTGCATGATCACACAAGCAGTCATCACCTCCCATAGTTTCTGCGTGCTCCAAGTATTAGCGGGATAGCGAATGATGCCCCATCGAGATTGCAAAGCATCAAAGGCACGCTCGACATCCTTTCTAGCACTCTCTTGCTCTTGGGCAAATCTTTTCCTTTTCTCTCCGACAGGGTTGGGCATTGTCTTGACAATAGTGGTCCACTGAGGATAGATACCGTCACCCAGATAATACCCTTTGTCGTAGGTGTGGCCGTTGACAGTAAAGTTCACCGGTGGGCTGTTGCCTTCGGCAAGCCTAGCAAACACCGGCGAGCGCTGAAGCACGTTGATATCATTGTGTGATCCAGCCATGCCAAAGAAAGAGTGCCAGATCCAGAGATCTTGAGACGCCACGGCCTCTAGTATGACAGTGCAAGCCCTGACATGTCCCTTATACTGCCCTTGCCAAGCAGAAGGGCAGTTCCTCCACTCCCAGTGCATGCAGTCTATGCTGCCAAGCATCCCCGAGAAGCCCCTGCTAGCATTCATCGCCAATAAACGGGCTGTATCTTCAGCTGTCGGCTTTCTCAAGTACTCAGGGCCAAACACAGCAATCACAGCCTTGCAAAACTTATACAGGGACTCTAGGCATGTAGACTCGCTCATACGGACGTACTCGTCAATGAGATCACCGGGCACTCCGTATGCAAGCATTCGGATGGCGGCAGTGCATTTCTGATAAGAGGAGAAACCAATCTTGCCGGCGGCATCCTCTTTGCACTCGAAGTAGTCATCATAGCCGACCACTCCCTCTCTAATACGGTTGAAAACATGCCTACTCATACGGAATCGGCGGCGGAATTTGTGATGTTTGAACAACGGGTTTGTTGTATCAAAGTAGTCCTTCCAGAGAAGGAAATGCCCGCTCTCCCGATTACGATTCAACGCCGGAAGGTGGCCCGGAATGGAGCCACGGAACAACGGCCGCTGGTTGTTGAGGTGGTGATGGACCAACACAGCAGCCAATATCTCCTCCTCCTCGTCGGACGAATCGTCGTAGTCGCAAAGGAAATTATGAAAAAAGAACTCGTCGGCGGAGTCCATTTTCGTACCTTGGCAAACTGTTGAACAGCTTGCGGGCGTCGAAGAAGGAGACGGGCGGCGAGGGGAGACGCTGCGCCCACAGACCAGCTAGCTGCCCGGTCGGCGTCCGACGAGGGTGACGGCGTCCGACGAGCGTGTCGGTCGTCTGTGGCTGGGGCGGCGAGGCGTCTTTTTGGTCGCGGGGCGGCTGGGCGTGGGCGAAACAACGGCGGGGAACCAGCTTGCTCCACGGCGGCAAAACGGCGGTGGCGGGCGACTGGGGGCAGGGGCGGCGTTGCTGGGCGGATGTGGAGGCGGCGTCAGCTGAAAGAGTTGCTGGCAAAATGGGCGGCGACGTCGGTGACGAAGAAGGCGGGGGCGAGGGTTGCTTGTTGGCTGGGGGAAGGGAAGGCCAATGTGCCACAGACGAGCGGGCCCGGGGACAGGAGTAGACGAGCAAGCGCGCGTTCATCGCGTGTCCGCGTCGATGCAAATCAGGCTCAAAAATAAGCCAGGAATGGATCGTCCACGGACGAAAAACAGACGTGCGTCCGTTTGGGTCGGCGCGTTGGGCCGCCTTTTTTGTCCGCGCCGACCCAAACGGACGGCCGCGGACGAAATGGGTCGCCCCATTGTAGTTGCTCTTAGGTCGTCTGTAATACTCCCTCCGTCCCAAAATTCTTGTCTTACACTAGTTTAGATACGGATGTATCTAATATTAAAATGTGACTTGATACATCCGTATTTCAATAAATTTAAAATGAGAATTTTGGGACGGAGGAAGTATGTCACAAAGAAATGTGCGTAGAAACTTTACTCGACTGCGAATGTAAAAACTTGTTTTTTATGACATACTACAACACATTTTTTTCACTAACCGAATCAAAGGCCTGAAAACCCGTGCCCGACTTATATTCCCATCCGAAGGGAGTGCTAAAGTGGCATTATTACCTTTTTTTTTTGTTTGGTACTCCCTTATAGTAGTACTCCCTTCAGTCCTTTTTACTCTGCGTATTAAATTTAGGTCAAGTCAAACTTTACAAAGTTTGACCAAATATATATATAAAAATATCAACATCTACCATACTGAATATGTATTCCATAAAACTGCATTTCGTAATGAATGTAACAATATTTATTTGGCATTATAAATGTTAATATTTTTTCTATAAGTTTGATCAAAGTAGAGATGTTTTGATTTGAGACAAAACTTATATGCAGACTATAAATGACCGAAGGGAGTATTAGCTTACAGAGAAGTAATTAGTTTGCAGAGGTAGTGAAAGAGGGTGGGAGGGGGAAAAGTGGAGCATCGGACTGATGCCTGCTGTCGTCCGTTGCCTGCTCCAGCCTTCCAGCTGAGGCACCAGCTGTCCGTTGCTCCGGGTTCCCGGTTCCCTGGCGCCTCCGCCGCACCCCCGTGAACGGTACTAATCCCCACCGCAGCAGCTACAAGTTGCACTGCACCAGTACCATAGCTCACAGGACACTCACTCCACTCCACTAGCCACCACAGTGTACTGTGAGTGTCTGTATGTTTAGCTTTAGCCACTCCACTAGCTCGTCGTCCCGCCCATCACAAGTTCCCTTGGCCTCTTCCATCTCTGCCGCCGCCGCAGCTCCAGTGACCGCGAGGTAAAATTCATTTCATTTTCGTTTAGTTTCCTGTCAAGTAACGTAGCTAGCTTTGGCCCCAAAGTGGTAGCTCGGCACGCCGACTCTTGTTTATCTTTCTTTTCGCCAGTTGTTGAGCAAGCATATAATCTAATGCTGTTGCAAATCTTTCTGCAGCAGGCTTCTCTGCTAATGGTCTAGTCTGGTGCCAGCATCTTCGTGACTTGTGAGGGACTAATTTGGACGCCATTCCTCGTCTGCGCACAAGCACATTGTTGTTGTTGCTGTTGTTGTCTGGTCACCACTCACCAGCACCTGTCGCTCAGGCGGCTTTGCCGCTTTACATCCAGGCGGCGAGGCCTCTGAAATTTCCTGTACCACAACCCACAATCAAAAGCTCCATTCCGCAGCGGCTGCCGGCACGTACAGTCCTCGATCACCAAAGCCGGAAAGCAATCGCCAAAGCAGATTGGCGTGTGCAGTACACATTCTTAATCTGATCGTCTTTTCGCTCCGCCGGTTCTTGCCGATCGATCGGTCGAGCGGTGTCGCTGAAGGAATCGTCGTCGTCTTCTTGGCCGGCAATGGCGGCGGCTGGCCCGGGCTGCTTGCTGGGGTTGGTTTTCTTGGCCGTGCTGCTCCCGGGGGGCGCGCCGCTGCTGCAGGCCTCCCAGACGTGGACCCTGCTCAAGGTGCAGCACCTGCTGGGCCGGCCGCCGGCGCTCCGGCACTGGCGCCGCACCACCGACTTCTGCGGCGGCGGCGGCACCGTCGCCCCCTCCGCCTCCGTCGTCTGCTACGGGGACACCGTCACGCAGCTCCACGTCGAGGGCGCCGCACAGGGCGCGCCGCCGCTCCCGCTCAACTTCTCCCTTGGCGCGCTGGTCACCACGCTGTCCAGGCTCCCCGACCTCAGGGTGCTCACGCTCTCCGGCCTCGGCCTCTGGGGCCCCTTGCCGGGGAAGCTGGAGCGGCTCGCCGGGCTGGAGATCGTCAACATGAGCCGCAACTACCTCTACGGGCCCATCCCGAGGGGCCTCTCGCGGCTCCAGGGCCTGCAGACGCTCATCCTCGACGACAACATGATCGGCGGCGAGGTGCCGGGCTGGGTCGGCACCGCGCTGCCGGCGCTTGCCGTGCTCAGCCTGCGGAACAACTCGCTGGCCGGCGCCGTGCCGGAGTCGCTCGGGAGGGCGCCGTCGCTGCGCTCGCTCGTGCTCGCCTCCAACAACCTCTCCGGGAACCTCCCCGACATGCGCGGCCTCGCGAGCCTCCAGGTGCTCGACGTCGGCGGCAACTCGCTCGGCCCGGCGTTCCCGCGGCTCGGGAGGAAGGTGGCGTCGGTGGTGCTGAGCCGGAACAAGTTCACCGGTGGCCTGCCCGCCGCCGAGCTCAGCTCCTTCTACCTGCTGGAGCATCTGGACGTGTCGCTGAACCGCTTCGTCGGGCCGTTCCCGCCGGCGCTGCTCTCGCTGCCGTCGCTCCAGTACCTGAGCATCGCCGGGAACAGGTTCACCGGGGCGCTGTCCGACAAGGTGCCCTGCGGAGACAACCTCCGGCTGGTCGACCTGTCGTCGAACCTCCTAATGGGGAGCGTGCCGGCTTGCTTGAGGCCGGGCGGGAAGCCGGCGACGGTGGTGCTCTCGTCGGAGAACTGTCTGGACAGGGGCGACGGCTCGCAGCACCCGTCGCCGTTCTGTCAGAACCAGGCACTGGCCGTGGGGATAGTTCCTCGTCACAATGAAAAGAAGAAAGTTAGCCGGCACGCCGGCTTCATCGCCGGCATCGTAATGGCGGTCCTCGTCGCTGTCTCGCTCGTCGGCGCCATGGCCTTCTTCGCCGTCAAGAAGATGACCATGGAAGGGGCGAAGACGAGGCCCTCGGCGACATTGATGGAGGACCATACTTCTACTTCCAGTGCCTACCCTTCCAAGCTGTTCGCCGATGCACGTATGATCGATCTCTGAATTTCATCCTATGACTTGTGAAATTAGTCTAAGAGACCCTGAATTTCATTTCTTGAAATCAAACTTGATGAAAAACTCACTAACATTTGCTTCCATTTTGGCATTTGGGATGACAAATAAAAAGGTTACATATCACAGACAGTGAAGCTAGGAGCTTTGGGGATCCCACCATATAGATCATTTTCTCTGGTCGAGCTCGAGGCCGCGACGAACAACTTCGCAAACTCTTGCCTGCTTGGGCAAGATTCTTATGGCGAGGTACAGCGTCGTCGATCTCTTCACTGAATTTTCTTCAGTCTGTTCACAAATTGGGGCAAGTGATGCCTGAAATTTTACCACGACTTGTTCTGGTTATGTTCATGACCATGAGTTCATCATGTCAGATGTATCTGGGGAAGCTAAGCAATGGTGCCTTGGTGACAATCAGGAGCCTCAAGGTTAAGAGGAACCAGAGCTCCCAAAGCTTCAACCGCCACATCGAAACGATATCTAGGCTCAGGCATCGGCACTTGGTCAGTGCTCTAGGGCACTGCTTTGAATACGATCTCGACGAATCCACCGTGACCCAACTCTACCTCGTGTTCGAGTACGTGCAAAACGGGAACTTGAGGAGCAGGATTTCGCGTATGTTGTCAGCTCTTATCTCCATTTTTTTCAATTGCTCTGACGGTCCAATGCCTGAATGTTATGTTGCTTTGCTTGAACTGTTCATTACCAGAAGGAACTGAAGGACGGAAGCTTACCTGGGGGCAGAGGATATCAGCCGCCATCGGCGTTGCCAAGGGCATACAGTTCTTGCATGGAGGGATCATACCTGGTCTGTTTGGGAATAATCTGAGGATCAGCAACATTCTTCTAGACCAAAACCATGTCGCCAAAATCGGCAGCTACAACATTCCGATCCTAGGAGAGGCTGCAAAACCTGAGGTAGATCCGCGAAATACTAACTTATGGGATGAAAACATCCAGCTACTCTTTGTAAGGTTTTTATGGCCATTTGCTGACCAACAATGTATGCTTGTCTGTCAATCCGACCAGGGAGGGGCTGGAAGCAGGCACCAAACTGACAGGTATCTACAAGTTTCAAGCTTCAGATGCTTATCATCTAGCAATTCCAACCGGCACAACTAATATTTTCTTCATCTTTCCTTGTTCCGCAATGCTACTTTGCAGCACGATGCTCGGCGACAAGATTGACATATTTGATTTCGGGGTGATCCTGCTTGAGCTTGTGTCTGGAAAGCCCATCACATCCATATATGAGGTGGAAATAATGAAGGAACTGGTATGTATGATCGGTCACCTAGTTGTAGATGGTAGTGCGCAACGCAACACAGATACCTGAATCTTGTTTGTGCTGCAGCTGCTATGGGCAATGGCCGAGGAGGACAGGGCCAGGAGGAGGAGCTTCGTGGACCCGGCGGTGAGCAAGAGCTGTTCAGAGGAATCACTGAGGACAGTCATGGAGATCTGCCTGAGGTGCCTGGCCAAGGAGGCGGTGCACCGGCCGTCGGTCGAGGACGTGCTCTGGAACCTCCAGTTCGCCACCCAGGTGCAGGACGACTGGGAGGGGGAGATCCGGAGCGGCGACGGGTCCCCGGTGTCGTCGTCCCGGACCGCCAGGTCCTCCAGATTCAGCAGATAGACGATAATAAACCAGCTGTTTCTCCCGTCCAAGTCATCCAGCTCCCAGGAGGATGGATGAACATGCAGCTGCCGGTGATGAGTTGTCCTCCAGGATGTGCAGAAAAGCAGGCTCCCAACTACTACGGTTGTATTTCTTCTGTCAGTGTAGAGCTTTCTTTTTCCTTTCAATTCCTCTGTTGTTTCTCTACCTGAAGCCTTCATCTCGGGAGCAAATATTCCTATGTTTTTTCTCTATGCTAGCAATAATAATGTTGGGCAAGCATCGTTCCTGTTTCTACCAAAACTAGCACAAATACCATTTGTAGAACACACCAAGTGTTTAAAGACTCGCAAGCAGCACCAACTTCTTAGCTATAACATAAAATCTTTACAATGGCTATAACATGCCTTAGTTCACCAAATAGGTCACAAGCACCATAAAAACAAGAGGAGATCAAGCACAGGGACACAACGGCCATGGGGTTTTTCAATGTTTTAATTCGGTGGTACAGACCAGCAAAGCCAGAAATGGAGACGTTCCAGGCATTGCTTATTGCAGGATCTGGCGACGCTAGTCCGCTGTCCAGCTCTGCTCCACGACCTCACGAACCTTGCGGTTGTACTCGCGCTTGTTCTCGCTGTACATTCTGGCTGCTTCAGAGTTCGCAGGAGAATTCGGGTTCGGGTCGCACAGCAGGGACTGCATAGCAAACCACGATAGAAATAAGTAAACTAAGTATAGTGTGTGGATTCAGGGACAGATAACCCATAGCACCCCAGGACACTACTTTCGAAGTAAATGAGGAAAATAATTTTTACATCCACAACAGAACGGAAGAAAAGGCTGTATTTGGTAACTTGCTATTTATGATCAAACTTTAGCAAGCTGTGTCACTGGTAACTCTTTATTGGTCGCATGTTACCTATAGGACAGGTGGTTGTTACACAATAAAAGTTCTCAATAAGATCTGGATCTGGCCTCAATGACAGTACTGTGCAACTCATGTCAATCTATAGGCGAGCACCGTTCTTGTTTCCTCTATACTATTGTAAAATTGAAACAGGTTTTACTTCTGATGACAACAATACGGATTGTGTAAACTTAAAGAGTAGTTGGTAGGTGCCAATGGTTGCATTGTGTAATGAAGTGAACAGCAACCAATAAAGCTAGAAAATTAATCTAATTACAGTAAGAGAGATGGCCTAAAGAATACCTGGATAGAGGTCAATATTGCTGCAACATCATATATAGGGCTCCACTGGTTCTGTAGGATATCCAAGCAGATGCTTCCATCTGCATAAACTGGACAGATAATAGAAAACATTAAACCAATTTCGAACAGATCCTCAAGGCTTCAATCTCTGAGAACAGTAGTCATTTCAAGAAGTAATCAAGTGATTAAATGGAAGTCATGAAGAGGACATACTGTTTGGGTGGAACATCCTTGAGACAAAACGAACAGTTGGTGGCTTGTTGGGGTAATCTTCTGTGAATTGCAGGGTCAGCTTGAACGTACCTATAATGTGTAACATAATAAATGTTATTAAACTTATGACTACTTAATAAAACCACTAGTTTGTTCTCCAGACTACAGCAATGGAAAGACACAGTGCGGACCATATTTCCCTGGTACCATGTATGTAGTTTCCTTGGATCATGAGCATAAGCTTGTCAAACTAAACTAAGCAGTTTGTGATCTTAACAAACCAAACCAAAGGGATAGGATCCAATGAACATCAAACTGGATCCAAAAAATATATTATCAGTTATCACAATTTCAGGGTGTTTTTAAGTCTTGCAGGCAACTGGACTTGGGTAGAAAGTAGACATTCCTGAATCAGATGATCATGTATTCTAGGCTTCTAGAATACTTTGTCCCAAACAAACAAAACTCCACAAAATAAAGCTGATATTTAATTACTGCAGCCCCATCTCAGTACCTTGCAGAAGACAAAATTGTTTGTCCTCTGGGCTCTAGAGATGAAGTGATCTTGCCCAACAAAAATACAATGTGCCCCGATAAATTTTGCCAGTTATGCTACGACAACAAATACCAATAATAAATAAATCATACTCCAACATGCGCAGGTAGGAATAGAGACCCCATCTCAAACAAGGGCTCCCAAATCACCGCTCATATGATGGCTACACACGTGCATGACGAACTCATGACTTAAGGCTAAGACTAAGGTAGTACATATATATTACTCCCTTTTTTTTGCGGGAGATATATATTACTCCCTCTGTATCAAGATATAAGACCTTTTTTGACACTGTCATAGTGTCAAGTAACGTCTTATATTTTTATACAGCAGGAGTACATAATAATTGCTAGCTGGCATACACCACAAAAAAAACCAGCAGATATAAGTAATGATAGTCGAGAGAAGACTAACCCGCGCACACACTCCGTCACTATTATTTCAAGAGCCAAGAGCATGTTTTTTTATGGGTCATATGCTTATTACTGATTTCAGGTGTGCCAGGTAGGATGCCAAACTGTAACGTACACTTTAGAGCAATGATAAAAATAAGGAGCTTCTAAGCGTGCACTTAGGTGTGCCCTATGCATTAGGCGACAACGAAATGCCTAGCCTTAAGCGCTGCTGGGCGTGCGCTTAGGCCAGATACGCACTACACAGAGGCAAGATAGGAATTAACCTTGCTCAAAGATAGCTGCACTGTGCACATTACTAGACCAAATTTAACATCTGTAAAAGCATGTTTCTTGCTAACTTGTGAGAGGATGACACCCTTTAGCATTAAAGCAGCAATCAAACACAAGATGGAAGCCCTTTCTGTTTCCATTAAACAACGGGCATCACAGATGGTACAGCTTTCGGTTTGCTGCCGTAGCAGTGACGTAAACCGACCGGTAAACGACAGTTTAGTTAAGCAGGTAGCTATTTTGGTGCAAAAAGTTATTGCATATTAAACGAGGAAAACGACAATTTCTCACACGATTACAGATTATAAATAGGTCCAACTTCAGTACCAATTAACCAATTCGCTATATCACAACAGGCAGCCCTTTACATTTCCGTTAAACAACGGACAGCACGGATGCTACAGCTTTCTGTTTTCTGTCGTCATACCAGTGACATAAACCGACCGGTAAACGACAGGCTTGGTTAGGCAGGTTGCTATTCTGGGGGCAAAAGGCTAATGTACATCCCATTAGCTCTACATCTACACCGTGTATATGAGAAATCAAACGAGAAAGACGACAATTTGTCGCACAATGACAGGTTACAAATAGGTCCAACTGCGGTACCGATTAACCAATCACTATATTGCAACAGGAAGCCCGTTATGTTTCCGTTAAACAACGGATATCACAAATGCTACAGCTTTCGGTTTCCTGCCGTACCAGTGACATAATCCGACCGGTAAACGACAGGCTTAGTTAGGCAGGTAGGTAATTGGGTGCAGAAAGTTATTGCACCTCCCATTAGCTTTACCTTGTATAAGAGAAATCAAACAAGGAAGACGACAATTTCTCACACGATTACAGATTACAAATAGGCCGTAGTACGGTACCAATTAGCCAATCACTATGTCACAACAGGCAGCCCGTTACGTTTCTGTTAAACAACGGACATCACGAATGCTACAGCTTTCGGTTCGACGGTTTCCTGTCATACCAGTGACGTAAACTGACCGGTAAACGACAGGCTTAGTTAGGCAGGTTGCTACTTTGGGGGCAAAAAGTTATTCTACTTCCCCTTAGCTCTACATCCACACCGTGTACATGAGAAATCAAACTAGAAAGACAACAATCTTTCGCGCGATTACAGACAGATCATAAATAGGTCCAGCTGCAGCGCCAATCAACCAATCAGTGTATCACACAGCAGGCAAACACTAGTAATCGAGCAGCTACATGCACACGGATGAATGAAGGAAACAAACTGAAACCTAAATCGGGAACCGGCGGCTCACCTCCATCCCACGGCGTGTCATCGGGCCTGCAGAATCACACGAAACAACAACATCAGGGGACGATAACAGCGGCACCATATACATACAACGGAAATCGCGACTCCGCGAGATCCCCAAGCACCAAAACCTAGGGATGAACAGAAGAGAAACAGGGCAGGATTTGTGCTGTTACCCAAATATGACGGCGTTCCAAAGGGTGATGTTGTTGTCGTGCGGCGCGCCGCTGATTCCGGCGGGCGGGTCCTGCTGGAGCCGCTTGAAGTCGCGCATCAGGCGCTTCCTCGCCGGCGTCGACATCCCGACCGATCCCTCGCTCCCGGAGCGCACGCGCGCGCGCTGGCCTGCCCTGCCCGGCGGCCGCCGCCTCTCCCCTCCTTCTCGCTGGGGTTCCCCGGGTGGCGGTGCGGGGGTGGGGAGC